TAATATAAAGTGAAAGAAGATGACCCTTGCTTTTCCACATTCATTCTATAAGTAGCATGCCTTTGAAACTATCCCTCATATAACAATTTCTAAACAACCAAATTTTGTCTTCAAAATCAGAGTATCCAAAGATGTAGTCTCGCCACCAGACCTCAGTTGTATTTACTGTTGTACTTTTTTTTTTTTGACTCGGTCCATCTAATTCTGAATTTTGCTCAGACCAAATGATTCCTTTGTAGCATAAAAAACAACAATTGCTTTCAGGCTTTTTAGCTATACTCAACTGACACCCCGCCTAAAAAAAGAAAACAACACGAACAAAAAGAAAGCATTATTATTGTCGTTCTCATATTAAGATTCTTTGCAGAAACGGCAAGCAAGTCTTTATTATATTTATATATTTGAAAACTGTTTAGTTCTACATCGGGCAGGTCTAGGGAGGTGTTTGTTGTAACAGTCTTTTCATATATAGATGATGATGAACGGTGGTTTTTATTTTATAGCATTAGAACAAATTCTATTAAATAGAAATACTGCTTTCAGTTTTTGTAATTTTGAATCTTTAATAGAAAATCACAATATAATATGTTCAGTGCTGTGGTTGTAAATACAACATACAGAAACAAGTTCAAGGGGCATATTATTTGACCGTTATGCATCAGATCTTGTTAAAAAACAAAGCTTGCAGAGAGAACAGACTGTTACTTTGTTGTTGACTGCTCCCCAGTTGTTTAAGGATACATGAATTATTTCCCACTGTTGACTTGGTAACACATGGTGCTGTAAACTGATGTTTATCATTATACGAGGTAATGGAATATACACCAAATGGCAGCTGCAGATGTTAAGCTCATTCATATGAAGGGAGTAATCAACAGCATCAGCCATCTTTAACTGTGCATGTGTGTGCCTATTACCTGCTATAGAGAGCACTGCATCAAAGCAGCCGTCTCTGTAAGGCAAGCACAGCCCGTCGCACATCTGGACCTCATGTCCTTGGCTCCAAGCAAAGTCCACCAGGGGGCGACAAACATCACAGCCCAGCTTGAACACTTCTTTGTTGATGTGGAGGTATTTGCCATTGCCACAACCTATAAACAATGTAAACAAAATCTTATGACTAATATGGTAGACATTGGTTTATATTGCATAAGGTTTAAAATGAATATTGTTTTGTTAATAGTTATATTTCTCCACGTGTCCAAGGAATAAGGGCTGAAGGTGACACCCACCAATGTCAGCTACGATGCTCCCTGGAGGCAGGTCCAGCAGGAACTGTCGCACTTTTGGCCAGGCTTTGTAGCGGCTGTCGTTGAAATATGGAGCGATCTTGTCATAGACACTGTGCACATGGTCCCTCTCCAGTTGACTGGCAGCCTCCTCCATCATGTCGACTTTGGCTGCCTCCTGCAGCGTCACAGCTTCATGGCTGCAAGAACAAAATAGATCATTAATGACTTTAGTGTGCTTGAAAATTACTTATTCCCTTTAAAAGCTTTCAGAGTTTTACATTAGAACATAAGATTAGATTTTTTTAATATAGTTTTTATTCTAGGACAGTCTCCTTTAATGGCTTGTTTTTCTTTAAATTATGTCCCTGAGTACATAGTTAACTGGACAGCTTTTGGACACTAATGTTGCCAAAGACTCCCAATCAGATTGAGGTTTTAACTTTGACTGGCCTAACTGATTAATATGTTTTTATTTACAGCATTTTATTGGAATCCTGATTTTCTGTTGAGGGAAACCGATCCTCTGCTCCAGTCTTTAAGCTTTAATAGTCCTTTATAATGTTAAGATCCAGAAATTCCCAATATCTATCTAT